TATCAGCAGTTCATCTCCAGTATTGAATCCACTCACAACACAAGCAAATTAAATAATAAGGAAACTCTTGTGTATACTCTTACAGAACTTGATTACATTAAAAAAATCTCTGGAAGATTTACCATGAAAATAACTCATTGAAGAATAACTGGAATGGCCTCAAGAAATTTCTACACACAAGACTAGAAGACCCAGCAAACTGCATACAAAACTCTTGATGAGTAATCTTTAATCTTTGCAAGAGTTTGGATGAAACTGACCAAGCCTACTGTTAATAATTTCTAGGGCTTGTGACAGAAAAAATGAAGAAGAACCTATACATAGAGAACTTGAATGAGCTCATGCAAGCTAAACTGAATGAACAGCTGGAAATACCAGATGATATTAATGAGATAGTAGCACTGACTACCTGACTCTGATCAAGTGTGACAGCAGCTCTTGAAAAGAATGTCTTGCATACAAAGTCTATCAATTCAGTTGAAAGTGCTTGCAGAGGTATGAAGACTAATAACTCAAGACTATAAATAGATAAGAGAAGTCAATCTCAGAGACCTGCTTAGAAGATGGAGAAAGATCTTATCAAGAATTGCAAAGCTTTAAAAAAAGAAGAAAAGTGCTTTGAGTATGGCCAAAAGAGATATCTTACAAAAGACTGTCTCAAGAAGAAGAGTAGCAAATAGGAAATTAAGAAGCTGTAAGTAGATAGAATCAATATAATGAAGTTATTAAAGAAAAGTCTTCTTGCTCTCCTCTCTATTGTTCTAGATATACAAAGCTCAACTGACAGAAGTATCATCTGGTCAGCATTAATAGACTCTGATTGTCAATCTCTAGTAATTAGTTCACAATTGGCTATAAAGCTAGTGCTAGAGGTGCACAAGATGCCTATAAAGATTGAAACTACTATAAATTATGAGAATATTATTCTTACAGAAGAAATTGCAAATATATTTATTAAAGTCTGTAACTCTCAGAGAAACTGGCAGTTATTTCATGAACAAGTGATGGTCACAAATATAAAAGATAAGATGCTACTGAGTTTGAGCTAGCTGCAGTAACACAATCTCAAGATATGTTTCAGAGAACTAAGACTAGAGTTTCAAACTGTGTGTCACAACTTATTTATAAAGATTAAACCAGTTAATCTCTCAGAGCTAGTGAAGAGAGAAAAGCCCATCTATATGATAACTCTTTATGAATCAGAACAGGTGGTGACAGCAGATCTAGATCTTCAGATACTGGAAGTCTACTGCAAACTTGTGAAAGTATTTAGTAACAAGAGAGCTTGAAAGCTGCCACTACACTATAAAGATGATTTAGCTATAGATCTTGAGCCAGGAAAGCAGTCAGAATTTGAAAGAACATACAGACTTTCACAAGCTAAACAAGAGACTCTTCACAAATATCTGAGCAGTACTCTAATCTATAAGTTCATCCAGTCTTTCAAGTCATCTACAGAAGCACCCATTCTGTTCACATTCAAGAAGAATAGCAGACTAAGAATAAGTGTGGACTATCATAATCTGAATTCAAAAACAGTTAAGAATAGATATTTTTTACTACTGATTGAAGATATATTGTATAAGCTTGCAGAAGCTGTAATATTCACTTAGTTAAATATCAAGAATATCTATTATAGATTGAGAATTCATAAAGAGAATGAGCAAAAGACTGCTTTTCAGACTTTACAGAGATTATTTAAGTACTTAATAGTGCTTTTTGAACTTACAAATGCACCAGCAGCCTTCTAATCATATATCATGAAGACACTTAGCAAATATCTGAATGTGTTTACAGTGGCCTATCTTGATAATGTGGTTGTGTACTCAGCTCACAAGAAAGATTATGAGAAGCATGTAAAATTAGTACTTAAGATACTCAAGAATGCAGATCTTTATTGCAAGCTGGTAAAGTGCAAGTTCAATGCTTGCAAGATTGACTATCTTGAGTATATATAACACCAGAGGGTGTTCTTATGAAGAAGAGCCACATGGACACTATTCTTGACTAGCTAGAGCTAACCAGTAAGAAAGAAATTCAGATCTTCTTAGAATTTGTGAACTTTTACAGGCACTTCATCTCAAGATTCTCTACAATAGTCTGCAGTCTGACTGCTCTTCTAAAGAAAGAAGAAGCAAAGCTAAGCAGATGTATATGAAGAGAGATAAAAAGAGAAACTAATAGTTTCATAACTAAGAAGAGCTGCAAAGCCTTTATAAATCTGAAAAGAGTGTTTGTGGAAGCTGTTATGCTTCACCATTTTGATATGGAACAGAAGACCAGATTGGAAACAGATGCATCTGGCTTTGCAGTATATGATATTCTATTATAGCTGACAAAGGATGATATTTGGATTCCAGTTGAGTTTTATTTGCAGAAGATGCAACCTGTGAAGATGAATTATAGCATTTATAATCAAGAACTGCTCACAATTGTAAAGTTATTTAGATATCAGTACTGCTGGTTGGAAGGCTTGCAAACACCAGTTCAAGTTCTTACAAATCATGATATCTTGCACTATTTCTAGACTGCTCAAGATCTCTCACAAAGACAGATCCACTGGACATAAAGGCTGACAGCCTTTTGGTTTACAGTTAACCATATGAAAGGAACCAAAAATCCAGCAGATGAACTTTCACAAAGATCTGATTATGCCAAGAAGACTGGTCTAGATGATACAGAGAGTTGCAGGACTGCAAATCAACTAAGAGTAATGCTCATAAAGAAGCAAGAGATTACAGAAAAGTTGGAACTAACAGCTCAAGTTTCTTCTAACTAGAGAGAGAAGAGAGAAGATAAGAATACACAACTCATCTTTACAAAGCTTCAGATTGCAACCAAGAAACTACTTGTGAAGATTGTCTTGAAAGATATGTGTAAAGTAAAGAAGATCACAATACAGGTTCAGAAGATCAAAGACCTGGTTCACAAAAAGAATTCTTATAAGAAGAGCAGCTTCAACCTGTTGACATCATTGCCAAATCTACTGCAAAGTGACAACTATGCAGCTGAGATCTGCAAAGATATTAACACAGGCATGAAGAAATTCATAACATGAAAAGAGAAGAAGAGCATTCTCTATAGAGATGATCACATATACATTCCTCAGAATAAGACCTTGTAAATAGAGCTGATCAGATATCATCATAATCTATCTCTTACAGAACATTTTACTACAGCAAGAACATACAAGCTTATAGCTTACAAATACATGACAGATCTTCATACAAAAATTATCTTTTCAGCTGATATATAAACTAAATCTGTGAATAGATCTGTTGGACTCTGAGGAGTATAGCTATATATGCAAGAATTTAAAGAATCAGATAGAGACAATGAGATTGCTCTGTAAGAAGATCAAGAAATTGCTTGTGAAGACACAAGTCTATCAGAAGAAGTACTATAATCAGAAGCATATTATGAAGACTTTTCAGATAAAAGACAAGATGTAGCTTAATTTTTGCAATATTAAGACCATGCAGTCTAACAAAAAATTAAATTTGTTAAGGCATGAGTCTTGTAAAATTACGAAAAAGATAAGCTTGTAAGTCTACAGACTGGAGCTGTTTTCAGATCTGCAAACTTGTTATAAATTCTGTGGCACAACAACAGAACACACAGGATGGTTAGATGATACCTAACAAGGCAGAATCACAGACTGTTGTGGAAGAACCTTAAGATGAAGATCATGTGATCAGTAATAGAACTGATAAGCTGACTGATTGCACTGAGCATGATAGAATTGATCAGAGGACATAGCAAATGTATTGTGGTAAAATGGATAGAACAGCTTAGTGAAACTATTACCAGAAAAGCATCATGTATATAAGAATGCTTATTACCAGAGATCTGATGGACTTGTTTATTGTGATCAATCTTCTTACTTATCTACTAGATACCTTTAAATCAGATACTTTCATATCTTGGTTACTTTCTATACCACTTAAGTTCTGTAATACTGTATGACTGTACCTGATCCTGCTACTCTTGAGAAGATCTCATAGTCTTGCTCTGACTCTGTCACACCTGCATGGAAACTTTTTGTTATCAGAGCAAGACTGCTGGCTTAACTGAAGCACCATTGAACTATTGATCACTATTTTAATCTGTTGTTACTTACTGTAATACTCTTTGATTCCAAAAGATTCAAGAGTGTCATGTGAATACATAACATATTAATTACCTCTGACTTAGAAGAGAATACATCTGAGATCTTAGAGATTACATACAAAGAAAGAACTTTCTGTATCATGTTAAAAGATAAAGATATGATTCCATCTCATATCAAGATCTAACAGAACATAGAAACTATGTCTGCATTCAAAGCACCAGCTGTCAATGCTCAAGATCTTATAAATAGAATCTTGCAGCTTGAACAGATTACTGAGAAACTTGGAGAGCAGAACCATGAATTGAAAAACTATAATGAGCAGCTTGAGGTCCAGATCATGGCCATCCCATCCACCAGACAACAGGAAAAGAAAGATAAAGTCAAAGTCAATCCACCAGAATTCTTCAAGAGTGACAATCAAGAATTGCACAACAAAAAGCTCAAGAAGCAGAACTTACAGCAACACAACTACAAGAACTGCAAAATCAGATAAGACTAGATATTGAATTCCTGAACAAGAGGATGAAGCACTACTACAATAAAAGGTGCCAGAAGGCACTAATCTTGAAAGAGGGAAAAAAAGTATTTCTAATTTAACAGTATATTAAAATCAAAAGATCTAGCAAAAAACTCAATTTCAAAAATTTGAGATCATACAAAATCATGAGACAGATCAGAAAAGTCAATTACAAACTCCAGCTACTCAAAAAGATGAGAATACACCCAGTATTTCACGTCTTATTATTGGAGAAAGCACTGTTGCATACTAAAGAAATGCCTACACATCAGCAAATCTCTACCAGACCCAGGGCTAGCCCCAGGCATCTGGGCAGCCAGGGTGTCTGTGCTTATGTCACTTCCCTGGGCTCACCCTGGATGGACACAGAACTCACTCTGGTAAGTATTTTTCTCTGTCATGGTCCCAGGCAACTTCTAATATAATGAGCACCTTTGCTGCATCTGCTGTTAATTTAGCATGTTCTGTAAATGCCATTATTTTCAACAACTCTGTTGTATCTACTAGATCTATCATTTTCCATTGATTCACATAAGCTGCTTTCTTTCACATTGGTGTCAATAACAGCAATAAAGATGTTATTAATATTTTTGTTCACTCTACTGATAGTGTTGCTCATATGATTATCATTACAATTAACACAAACAACACTATCACCAAATGCATTAATGTTCCATTTCATGCTGCTGCTGCTAATACCAGAGGTGACAATGAATATGCTGCTCTTAACTTTACTGTAGAAAATAAATCTAGTGATGCAGCCAGATAATTCACTACTACTGACATGAAAAATACAATTACACAGAACCTTATATATACTCTTCAATACTATTAATCTTGCTGTACAGCCTGACTATTTCATGCTGTATGACTAGATTAGCAAGCTTTACCCCATCAATTATTATTTTCTGGCCTTCTCACACTCTGTATTCTCAAGAACATGAGAACTACTCTTTCCATCATCTTTATTATCTTCATCATCTCTGTTATCTCTATTATCTCTGTCAGCTCTATTGTCTCTGTTGTTCTCATTATCTCCATCAACATCAGACATCTCATTTATAAGATTATGGATACACTTCAAGTCAATATTCTTAATGTCAACAAGTCCCTACATTTTTGATTCACATCTGTTAGTACAATCCAACAAAATGGAGTTAACTTCATGTCAGACCAATCAAAGTACTATCATTCAGAGTCCCAATATTACTATACTGCAATACACACTCATTACCATTGCCAGTATCTTCCATAAAGTCTAGCTCCACCAAATCATTCAAACCATTCTCATACTTATTGATAATATCAGCAGCAGCAGGCTTCCTCTTCTTCTGAGTATCTCATTCCATATGAGCTCTTGCTTTGTCAAGAATAATTTTGCAAGTATGTGATTGTTATTCTTCTGTCTGTTGATTTCAAACAGCTTATAGATATTCAAAAACATCTATTAAAGTACAGTACTAGTTAGCTTTCAAATCAATCAAGCCAGCATCTGTAAAGCAGCTTACTCTGCACAGCTTGATTCTTGAACCTGATACATTCATGACTACCAGTCTCATACTTCTTGATAGTGTGGCACAAACATGTCAACACCCAAATGATGCAACCAGCAGGCAGAGAATCAAAGAGATGCATAGTGTGTTCATTCATGGCAGAGCTGTACATACTTCTATCATAAAGAAACTGACTGACAGCAACATATATTATTGAGTTCAGAAAGTGCCTCTTGCTATTCTGTCATTTCAGACTTCTTAGTAGCAGATTTCATCAGATGAATGTCTTAGAAAGACATTGTATACCTTTTTCTCTAGATTGAAATATATAAAACTATCTTTAAAAAGAAGATCTGCAGCAGTCTCTTTTCACTCTTTAGCTGTTAATCCAGAGAGTTTCCTCATTACAACATCACAAGTCTTTTTCATAAAGTGCCCCCATGCAAAACTTGCAATATTATAAAGCTAACATATAATGTTAGAAACTTGTTGTATCTTGTAAAGATAATAAGACTTACTCTTCTAGCTTCTGTCTTGTTTGGTTTATTAGATAGAGTACTTGATATACTACTGACATTATATCTGCCATCATACCATATCTGCACCACTCTTGTCCAGATGCTCTCAATTATTTCACTAAGTTAGTTTGTGTTAGCAAGATATTCAGGCTACAGTATCAGTCAATCATCTGGTACTCTGTCAAGATTCAAACCAGAAAACAGCTGTGCTCTCCAGAGTTGCTCTGCAATAGAAAGCACTGCATTATTAGCTGCATTCAGTAATCTAACCAGGCAACATCACTTAGCACCATGCCATATCACACACTTTAAAGCAGGTGGCTGGACACTGAGAGATATATTTACTGTATTTTCTGGAGTTACAGTGCTTCTGACTCTAGTGTCAGGATTTCATCAAAGTTTTTTAAGTATCTGCAATGGCTTCTACCATGTTGGATATTGTTAGTGCTAGCAGATGCATTGTAATTGTAACTTACTTTCTCAAATAATATATTAATATCATTATTCTTTATCAAGTCCATTGCTTCTTGCATCATATTATTCTGTGACATTGATGATGCACCCCTGCCTATTAATTGCATTTAAATTAGCAATTATCTCTGTAATGCATTATCAAAATCTGACTAACTCTGTCTGCTTTTCAGAGAACCTGCTGGCTGTTTGATTAATGTATTGTATTTGGCTGTCTATTACTTGCATCAATTATTTATTCAATTTTAGAAAAGCTCTTGCAGTACTTACTGATTTGATTCTCTTTCTTATTATCTAAGAAGTAACAGGTGCACTTCTGTACTGAGTAGTGTCTAACTGAATTTATAATGGTGACTTCTGCTTCTGTAACAAGAGTGCCATTGTATATAATTTCTTACATGAGAGTCAGTATTCAATTCCATTAATATAAAACAATTCAAGTTTGACACATCTTTCAATTCACTGTATAATATGTGTGAAGAACAACAGGTTAAAGAGAATTAACTTATGAAATATCTTGCATTAATTATTGATGTAGAGAAGAATTCTCAGTATCAGAATGCTGAAATGAAAAAGAAGAATTATTGGAGGAATTAAAGCTTCTGAAATGCTAGTTCAGCATTTAGCAATTAGACTAGTGATCTTTTTGGTAACAATCACCAATCATAAGCCATTTTAAAGCCAGAACTCCTGTATATCTACTCTGTAACACAAACTCAAAAAGTCAGTCAAATAGTTATTCTATCAGAAGTGAACATATACATCTAATTACTATTTTTATTAGAAAGCAATCCTTCAATTCTGTTCAAATCAGTTAGAAAAAGCTGAAAGCAGTGCCATTTTAAGCAATACATTTGTTTGAGAGCTGTTTGAAATGAATGCTCTCTACAGATTTTCAGTAGCTTGTTGTCCAGCAGCTCAAAGTATCAAATTTGAGTATCTTTCCAGTCAAGACTGAGCTCATTTTGAAGCAGTATTCTTAATTGTTGAAAGAAGATACATGAAATCAGAGCTGAGTTATCTGTCATGCTTGTTCTTTTCTTTAATATACTCTCACAGTTGCTGACAAGATCCTCCACACTATATATTATAGTGTCTCTCTGTTCTAAATATTGGACAACTATATTTGTTGATTCAAGTGAAGTATCATTCATCTCACTACTGCTATTATTCTGTCCAGTAAGAATAACACATCAAAGCTTTGCAGTGGCATTCAGAAACTGTTATTTTTGCATCTGTTTGTGTACTTCAACAATCTCTTTAATATTAATACCAGAAGAAACAGAGTTGGACTGAGAATAATTACTGTCTGATAAAGTAATTGAGTTTGGATGTACAAGCTCTTCTCTGAATAAGTGGTGCTTTTGATTATTGTTGCATTTCTGAGCTATTACTATTAGACAACATTGTGCTTGAAAAGTTGAATAATTATAGAAGATAGAATTATATTAAGCAATTATTTGCTGAATAACATTAAGTAGTTTCTTTCTGTTCTTCCATGTGCTAAGCTTCTTTCTGAATATCTGTTGTAGGTGCATCTCTTGTTCAACAGAGTAATATAGTAATTAATATGTGTTACAGTCAATTTTCAGTTCATGTTTAATTACTGACACTTTTCAATCTTTAACTTCCAGTAATCTGGTGCTAGCTGCATGGCTTTGCCTGGAGAATGTATTCCTGAGGACCATTGTCAGTGTTACTTGAGAAAATCACTTAGTAAATAACAGATTCTCAAATTAAATTGCATGTAATAAATAATCAAAAAAAAATCATGCAACTCATCAAGTTCCAGAATGCAAAACATGAACTGGGGCCTGTAAAGCCACTGTAAGAGATTGAGAGATGTTATGGATCACATGACTGACTAATTAACAAGTTAGTTAACTGAGTTATGGAGTTACTCTGTAACTAGTTAGCCAGTTAGATAACTAGTTACTCTGTATTCTGTACAGCTATAGAAAATGCTTTAATCTTCACTAATATATAGAGTACTTTTATTTATTAAGAGCTACTGTCTTCTTTATAAGTATAGTGTTGTTTTATGTTGAGTATGTGTATTCTTTTTATTTAACTCTGTAGTTACAAAGTACAGACAACAGAGTCTCAAAGTCATGTTGAGATATATATCTAGTTATACAGCAAGGGTCTGACAAACATGCACATCTGTTGTATAACTAGATATTATGGCCATCCAACTGACTATATAATCATCATGAAGGTGTTCTACCTCATCTCTGACATAAATAATTCATTGCAATATTGTTAAGTTGTGAGGATCATATGTGTGGATTGGCGTGACAATGAATCTATAGAAGGAATTGTACATGGAAAAGAGTACACAAGGTAAAAGGTCTGGTATTGGCAACTATGTATGACTTGTAGACAAGATTGCCACTGGCTCTCAACAAGGGGTTCACACAGTGGTGATCTTTTATGTGTGCTCATGAGCATGTGACTTAGTGCCTTGTGAGGACACATGTACTCCCAACAGCTTGTGAGCTGAGGCCCTGGGCTCTTGTGGGTGTTGTTTGTCCATGTAAGGGGTTCACAGGCAAATTCTTACATAAGTAGAGCAGTAAAAAGAATGTATCCAACAATTTACTGAAACTTTTCAGTTGCTGATGAGTATTCTTGAATATTTTAATTACTCAGTTAATTCTTTCTCAGATTCTCCATCAGATTTTGCTTTTCTATTCATCATCTCTTGTTGAAGTTTAAAGGAAAACTTATTTACTAGTGCTGTACTGGTGTTCATAAAATCCAGATCATATAGACTTGTATACTGGTTCCAGTCAATATAGTTGTTCACATAAAAAAGTCTTTTGCCTCTGTGTGAAGACTTGTCTTCTGTTGCTGAAATAACATGTATATTATGAATGATATTCTCCATGGAGTAGATTTGTTGTTTACCAAGATTATGACTTTTTGACAGAGACTTTTGAGGTATTGCAGATAATTCCATCTCAACCATGTCATGAATCTTATATGAAATTTCAGTACAGGTCTGTAACATGTCAATAAATGCACTACTGTATGTTGCAGGTTGTGCAGATAACATATTGATCTTTTGACTTTTTATATATTTTCTCTGTTCATAATCAAGAACTGTTATCACAACCACAAGCTGGCCAACCATCTTGCCATCCAATATGAATCTACTTGCCTGGAATAGTTCATGCACTTGAACCTAAATGTAGTCCTGCTGCCAGAAATTTGTTTTTTTCATTCATGCTAGTGAGCAATGCACAATTTTCTTGACCAATCTTTCTAAGTTTGAGCCATTCTTTCCATCTAGTTTTCAAGTTGTGATAGATTGGTGAATTTGAAGATAGTATATCTTGATTCAGTCTGATTGAGATTCTTGTTCATTACTGAAAGCCCAAGTTTCTTCACATTTTATAATATTCAATTACTTTCACATTTCCTGAACAAATACAGCAAGTGCCTCAAGAAATTTATCATCTAGACTTCCCAATTGACTAGCTAGATCTGCAGCAGTAAGTTGATTCTTGAGAAGATTTCTAGAACTTAGTTCAGACACCTGCTACTCCAAGTCACATATAGATACAGCCTCTGACAGGCATGTGTTCTTGACTTCTAGCTCATCAGCCACTCTTGCTGCTTTTTGATTCAGGATTTTATCATCAAGCACTGTATTCTTGATTGACATCATGTTCATGCAGCAGATGTTGTGTTTGATTATTTGGTTCTGATATAATTCTTGCTTGTTAGTTCTACTGAACAGCTTTTTAACTAAATGTTTGTGTGATGTCTTATAATTCTTAGTGTCAAATCCATCAAGACTTCCAAATTTACAGATGAATTGTATGTAGTAAACAAGTACATAGAACTTCAGAAAGTTAAAATGTTTACTCTTAGCAGAATCTTTATTATTTATTCAGTAGTTACTAAAAGCTTATTTAAGCCTGTTAATTTCATACAGTGCATGTTTAATATATTTCAATGTATTCTCATCATGTGACTGATATCATGTGAGGAAAAGCAGATCAAGTACAGCATGAGCAAATAGCATGGCAGCTAGCTTTATCTTTATTAGTATTGAAGCAATTGCTATAATCAACTGTTGTATAACTGCTCTCTGTTGAACTCTAGTCCATTAACTTATAATACTGAACTTCTTGAAGTGCTTTAGTAAATAATATACAGAAATCTGTTAAAACTGCTTGTCAAGTCTTGCAATACCTCCAGCATCTGATATAGTAATGGTGGAATCAGAGTCTTTCTTCTCTTGACAGATTGCTTTGAAGACATTCTTGATTAAAGTCTTTAACTAGTTAATCAAATGATTCACTAGCTCTTTAAGCAATTGATGCAGAATATCAATCATTATAATACTGTGAACATTTATCAATAGATGGTACTATACAAAGTTTAGAACAGCATGAATTCACATTTCTTTAATTTTTGTTGAAATTTCATCAAGTCTTCTGGTTGCTATTGCATTCTGCTGCTTCTGAAGCATTGCCAGTGTGTATTTATGAGTTCTCATTAGCCAGAATTCTATCAGATTCTCTTATACATTAGATGGAACAGTATAAATGATGCAGTGTCTACTACTTTTAACTCCAGTTATTAATACTTGTTGTTTATAGTCAGCTATTATTCTGGTAAGAATAGAAAAACAGTTTCAAACTTGCTTATCAGTACATTAGACCATGAAGCCTGTTTTATACAAGTATTAAAGTACTAATTAACTTAATTAACTGTCAGTCAATTTTGCCAACAGATTTAGCATATATCTAGCTGTATAGCTAGATTATATGTTGTGATGACTGGGACCTGTAGTACTTTAAAGTAAGACTTACACTTCAGTATAATTCTTATAGACTTATGATACACTTGAGATTTGAGTTCCCATGATACATTTTTTAGTGATGGGAGAAATCCAACAAGCATTATATCATTCATATTATAAGACCACCTTGCCATATTACTTAAATTTCCAATTGAAAGATATACAGGCCATGAGTTCAAGTCTTCATGTTAATTAATAAGCTGTATTTTATCTGTTATAATCAATACTGGTACTACAGTTACATCATCAGAAAAATTCTTCTGTATATTTCATCATTAATTTCCAGTATACATTTCTGTATATACTCAGTTATTACTCTGATTAAAGTGCTGCACTGGTTCATATATCAGATATTTCTAGAATAATTTATAGCCAAGAAGATGTTCAATAACATATTTAACTTTCTGATACTAAAGTTTGTGTATCTCAAAGTGTAAACCTGATTCTGGCAAGAAAACTGTTACATTCATCTGAATTCAATTTCTTGCAGTATGGCCGTGTAAGATCTCAGCAACTTTTGAGAAGAGCTTGTCTGTATTGTGAAAACTCAGTTGTACAGTAATACTGTGTAGAGAAGAGCTCTTCAAGAAGTTATTAATATTTTTCTTACTGAGTTTTGCTCTAAAAAAGAAACTTGCTGTTCTATAATTAATCTTACTACAAAATGGATAAAATGAATTGTATTCTTCTGAATATTCAGAATCAGATTCAATTTGAATATTAATAGATACACCTGCCCTTCAATCTGTTGTCTTGTATGTGATGGCATGGATTGTGGATATGATGAAAAGCTTGGCTGGTGAAACCAGAATGTAAAAGTTTGAGCTTCTTTTAACAGTAGATTCTGTACATTCTCTCTTGCCACCAGTGTTAACATCACTTGTAACCAAATCTTCTTATAATAAAAGATTGCTAGCCATAGTACTTTCAAGTGACAAGATTTCTAGCTTATTCATCTTAATGTTCTCTTTCTTCACATTGGCTAACCAGTCACTATAGTTGTTATGAATAAAATTCCATTCACCAGTAGAGATTCTAGTAGTGTTGAGGTTATCAGCATGTTCTTAAATCTCTGAGTCTGTCAAGATAACTGATTCAGTCTGGAAAGACTGGAATTCTTGAAGATAATCAAGCAACACTCAATATTTTACACAATGTCTCTTTAATTTACTTAATATGAAGGTTTGCTTGCTAGTAAATTATTGCATAATAATAAAGACTTTACTTTATACTTGCTCTAGCTTCACTTTATGCTCACTTTAATCTCACTTATAGAGCAGTGTATTTTTATTATAATATTACAATAATATTTACAAGCTAGTTTATTTTAGGCTTAGCTTGACAGTACTATACAAGATATAAATACCTTTTTTCTTCTGCCTTCTACAACTCTCAACATTATATCTAGCTATACTGCTGCTACAGTTATAACCTGCAGCTGCAGCTGCTGCTCCTGCTACAGAAAAGAGAGTATTACTAGCTTGATCACTTAACAACAGTATTTAATAAGTTCTACCAATGTTGCACCTTTCATGAAAATCTAGCTAATATTTATGAAGGTTCTGCCATATTAGAACCATTACAAACAACTAAGAAAATCACACTATTTTATTATTTATTGTCTTTACAGACACTGAGCATTTAATTAATGATACTGCAAAGAATCAAGTTACCATAAACTCTATAAATACAGACTTTAATGTCAAGTATCTCATCAGTCATAAATTCAATAATACTAAGATTCAAGCCAACATGAAACACTTTCTCTTCAAGATTATTGATAAGGGCAGCAAGCCCATTATCTTAAATTCAAAGATGAGACCAAACAATTTACACCAGAGAAGATCATCTTTACTATTAACAATACTGGCATGACCATGTCAGCCTACTTCAATAACAAAGCAGTTTCTGCTGGAGGAGATCTTCTCCATGCCTTGATTAAGATGGGGAAGACAGCTGACTCTCATCTTAATGGCATTATTAACAATACTGGTGTGACTGTGCCAGTCTACTTCAATAACAAAGCAGTTTCCACCAGGAGAGATCTCCTCCATGGTCTTGATCAAGATGGGAGAGACAGCTAAATCTCATCTTGGTGGCATTATTAATAATGCTGGCATGATCATGCCAGTCTACTTCAACAATTTCCAGCATCAAGCTACCAAGAATGCCAGTCTTATTACTGATTTTAACATTTTCTATACCTTGAACAAGCTCAATGTCACTATAATTGTGCATGACTTTGAATTGAAGTTAGTTACTATAGAGTTTCTTATACTTGCCATTCTGAAATACACATGTAGCATTAAGATGTTGTAATATAATATAGAGATTCTACATTATTTTCTTGTTGCCATGCTTGACTACTTGATCTACTGAGCTGTTATCTAGCTATAAGACATAGCATGTATTTTAGAAATACTGCTGAAGATTCACAGCTTCTACTTCAAATGTAAGAATATTAGATCTCATGCTACTTTTCTAGCCATACAGTACAGAGACATGTTGTTTTGGATTTTCTAATTAGATTAAGAACCTACACTTTATTTTTGTTGCTATAATCTCTCTTCCAACTCTCTCTCTAATTACTAATCTATACAGTCTCACCAGCTATACTACAAGCTTGCTGGCTCTTCAAATCAGTAAAGATAAGCTCTCTACAGCCATGAATTCCAATCTTGAAAGAGCTTATAAGCTTGCTAACTAGAGATTAGCAATATACAGACTTCTCTGTAAGATTCTCTTTACAAAACAAGCTCTATAAGTACTTTCTTTCTGATGAGCAACAAGCTGATATTGAACTTAGGCACCATTTGAAGACTTCTTTTGTGATATTGTGTATTGTACATCTAGATATGCAATACATCTTCTGACTTGAAATTCTTGTTGTATAGCTAGTATGCCCTAATATCTACTATATTGAGTGACTGATTATCATTCTAACATAAAGTTTAGCCTAGCTTGAGAAATGAATTCTTCAACTCCATTAAAGAAAATAAGCATACTGAAGGCCTGCAAGGCAGCCAAGACTGAAGATCTTCATTCAAGTATAATCTCCAGAGTCCATGTACTTGGTGGTAGCCAAATCCATGAAAATCAAGCAAAGCTTGCAGAATATTTAGACTTCCCAACAACAGGTGTATTACAAGAATGAATGCAATCAGGTAAAATCAACTATATTTTAACTACATTCCACAAGAAATACAACAATTTCTTTGATAGAACTGGCCCTGCATACAGATTCAACATCTCAATTCATATTAATACAATGAAGAAAATGAAGCTTTCAATAATACAGGCAGAAATTTCTTTACTCAATCATGATCTTAAGAATCTTGAGCCTACTGATGACATTTCTACTGTAGCATCATTATGAGCTGTTTGGCAATTAATTACAAAATTCAAGAAGAGATTCAAAGATGATAATCCTGAGAACATATATAGACTTCTTCTTCTATTGAAATATGTGGTACAGACAAGATCTACTAGTCAGCAGCTTAAACAAGAAAAAGACTGTGAGCAAGACAATAAAGCAATTATTTCAAAGTATGCAGACCTAAATGTGCAAGATGACTCTGCTGTAAAGACAGGAGCCAAGACTGCTATTACTACAGCTATTAGTAAAAAGTTTCAAGACAATATTGAAATTGGTTCTACCAATGAAGATGTTGACATCAATTTTGAGAAGAACACCAACAATACCATCAAAATCATGAACAAGATTATTTGTGGAATTAGCTCCAATATTTCTTTGCCTTCTATGAATAAAGACACAAGAAAAGTCTTACTTGAAGAGTTTACCAAAAATGCTGTTGATATCAAAATATCATTTGTGGAAAAGCACAGATCTAATAATAGACTAATAGTTAACACTAAACATCTGGAACACCTTAAAATGAGTGACAATGATGACAACAATGAAGATTTCATTAAGAATACCAGCAAAACTCTCTTTAAGCTGAATCACATGCTCAATACAACTGGAGCAGAAGCTCCAGATTATCTTACTACTTGTTCTGACTTGAATGTGGACCCTGATAACCTAATGGTTGCAAATCTTATACTGAAATCTTGGCAAGTTATCAGAGTTGCTTGAAAATTGATACAAGAGCTGTCATCAGTAGAAGATAGAATTCTTACTAATGAAGCAGGACTGGAAAAGACTGCACAATACTGTACTTTAATTCTCAAAGCAAAAGAACAAAAGTCAACTGAACTATATTATTCAACTCTGATTATCTGTCTGAACAGAGTGGTCACCAATTAGATTGATCAAATTGTTCAGTTCTTCTCTGATAGCATTCAACTGATTCTTTTTGAGAGTATTCTTAACAGCAGAGGAATCACTAATGACATTCTCAAGAAGTTTATTGTCAACAAAACCACATTAAAATTCAAATTCAAAAAGCTTGACAAAAATGATTCAAAGACCATAATAACAGTTATCATCACATCATATTCAACATGGTAACAGCACATGTATTCAAGCCCCAATAATCTAGCTGTATGACACAAGACTTCAGATGCTACCATACAGCTAGATGAACCCTCCAGTGTATTCAGGAACATGCTTCAGCAGCTTTACAGAAAACTTGATTGGCTGATCAAAAACTTCTTCAAACATGTGATACTTGATGAAGGACACAAAGTTAAGAATTCAAGAATCTCTGTCCACAAGACCATTGTCTTGATTTCAAGAGATCATATCTGAATTATGTCAGCAATCCCTATAATGAACAGAGCCTCCAATTTATCTGGTTTTATGCAGCTTATTAATAAGGAATCTTTATATACAGATTTCAATTTTCAAGCAATTGACAACCCACTCAAAGTTTACAAGAAAGCACTTATATCTGGTATAAATTACTTGCATATTCTGCACCCATTGCTCTACAATCAGCTTTTTCAACATGATTTAATGTTATCATACTTTGCAATAATTACTTTGTCTTAAATTCTCAACTGCATCCAGCTTTATCAGGCATATGGTTATCAAATGAATCTTGACAGTACATACAGAGTCATCACTATTGGTGAAGATATTTCAAGCTATAGTGTACAGATAATTAAGTGTAAAATGATACAGATAAAACAGCTGGTGCAGTATTACAGCATTCACTTACATCTTGTTTTGATGCTGAAAAAAGAGACTGTCAGCAATACTCAAGAATCTTCTGAGAACAGAAATAATGTTGATGGCAGTTTTAACATGGCTGTTTATCACCAGCTCAGGCATGCATTATTTTCATTTGCTTTGGAAAATCTTTTTACTTTAACTGTTGCAAAGTGTAAGAGTAATCTTTCTCAAGATATCAATTAAAAGTGCCACTCATTCCAGGGAATTGTGTGGCTTATAAGCAGAATAATTACTGATGTCAATATTTTCTGTATTCTGGCTGACCATAGATAGATTACAGAATTCTTATGCTCAACAACATTAAAATATCTGATATTTCTTAAGATTCTTTAAAAAGTTATAGACACCAAGAGGCATTATCTTTTAGTCTTTGTTACTTATCTAACTGTTGAGTTCCATGTCAAAATCTTTTTGAAACTTCTCAGATACAATGTTCTTTCACTGCAAGCAGGCCAGTCATCTCAGAAACAGCAAAAAATACAAGATGCCTTCAATAATTCTGATAGTAATGTTAAAGTTTTGGTCATCACTTACAGTACTTGCTCTCTTGACATTAATATCCATCACCACTACTCAGATATTACCATGCTTGAACCAGCAACTAACATAAACATCACTTTACAGATCATGAAAAGAGTTCATCATCTTGATTAAACAGAAAAGCAACAGATCTGAATTCTTTATGGTGCAAATATATTTAATCATTTTGTTAAATTTAATCAAGTGAACAAGATGATCCCTCAAATCATTAACATGGCACAGAACATGTTTGACAATCTCAAAGACAAACTAGCTATACAGCTAGATAAACCCCCAGAAGATGTTGAGACTCAGAAAGAGAATAAGAGACAGAACAATACTACAGCAAATCCACTAAATAAGATCAAGAATATTGTATGCAAACAAGCAGATATCTTCTACCATAAAATATTTGAACAGACTTGTTCACATTTAAAATACAAAGACATGACAGACTTAGAATTAGATGATGACATTATGAAAAAGATCCAGTAAATGCTCAGGTTAGTTTTATTAAAGAAGCTCATCATAACCAGCAAGACTCTTCTTGTAACACAATTACTAGTGAAATCTAGTGATGAGATATTCAGCAAGCCAGATTCAGAGCAGCCTCTATAACATGCAGACCCACCAGAAAATAAGACTTTTACAGAAATTACAAAAGATAATTCAAAGACACCAGACAGTTCACATAAATCTTTACAACACTTCATCTTCCCCATCAGAGTTCTAACATCCAGTACACTACTTGCCATTAAGCTTGAACATATGAATCTTGACAATTCACTCTTGACAGATCTCAGCAGCTTGCCATCTTCAGATAAAACAGACAACAATAACAAGAAAAATGAGGCACCAGAAGATGGAACAGAAAATAGCAACAAGGAAATTAAGAAATCAGATACTAATAGTCAGAAGTATAAAACTTCACTTCACATATAGTCTCTGTATAGCACCAAGAGATCAAGAATTTCCAAGAATTCATGATGTACTTTAGTTTTTTACTCACATCTAAATGTAGCTTTGTGAGTTTTTACAAAAAATGAGAATGCTACTAGCCTTGAAATTATTTATTTTAATGTGTAGAGTTAGAACTTCCAGATAGCTAAGAGTACAAAGTACTGGTGAAAGTGGCATCTTGGCTTGGTGAGGTAAAAGAGCAACTAAAGAATGATTTGGTGAAGCTCAGCAGGCCCAGAGCCATTACTGATGGAAGAACTCAACCAGAGCTAATTCAGAGCAACAAGAAAATCAAAAATGTGGCCTGGAGTAAAACCAGGGCAATTATGCAGTGCCAAGAGTGCTAAGACTGTCTACAGCACAAAAACTTATACTAAAATTTGTGGAGTGTGGTGGGCCTGATGGAGATTTGCTGATGTTGACCAATCTTTCTAAGTTTGAGTCATTCTTTCCATCTGGTTTCCAAGTTGTGATAGATTGGTGAATTTGAAGGCAGTATGTCTTGACTCAATCTGGTTGAGGCTCTTGTTCATTACTGAAAGCACAAGTTTCTCCAGATTTTGTAATATCTAATTGCTTTCACATTTCTCAAACAAATACAGCAAGTGCCTCAAGAAATTCATCATCCAGGCTTCCCAATTGGTTGGCTAGATCTGCAGCAGTGAGTTGATTCTTGAGGAGATTCCTAGAACTCAGTTTAGATACCTGTCATCTCAAGTCACATATAGGCACTGCCTCTGACAGACATGTGTCCTTGACTTCTAGCTCATCAGCTGCTCTTGCTGCTTCTTGATTCAGGATTTTATTATTAAGTGCTGTGTTCTTGATTGACATCATATTCATGTGATGGATGTTGTGTTTGATTATTTGATTCTGATATAATTCTCACTTGTTGATTCTACTGAATGACTCTTTAACTAAATATTTGTATAATATCTCATAATTCTCAGTGTTGAATCCATCAAGACTCTCAAATTCATAGATGAATTGCATGTAGTGAACAAGTACATGAAACTTTGAAAAGTTAAAATACCCACTCTCAGTAGAATCTTTGTTATTTGTCTGATAGTCACTAAAAGCTCATTTAAGTCTGTCAATTTAATACAGTGCATGTTCAATATATTTCAATATATTCTCATCATGCAACTGATATCACATGAGAAAAAGCAGATCAAGTACAGTATAAGCAAATAGCATGACAGCTAGCTTTATCTTTATCAGCATTGAAGCAATTGCTACAATCAACTGTCACACAACTGCTTTTTGTTAAACTCTGGTTCATTAACTTATAGTGCTGAACTTCTTGAAGTGCTTCAGTAAGTGATATACAGAAATCTGTCAAAACCACTCATCAAGTCTTGCAATATCTCTAGCATCTGATATAATAATAATGGAATTAAAGTCTTTCTTCTCTTGACAGATTGCTTTGAAGACATTCTTGATTAAAGTCTTTAACCAGTTAATCAAATAATTCACTAGCTCTTTAAGCAATTGATGGAGAATGTCAATCATCATAATACTGTGAATATTTACCAATAGATGGTGTTATACAAAGTTCAGAACAGCATGAACTCATATTTCTTTAATTCTTGTTGAAATTTCATCAAGTCTTCTGGTTGCTATTGCATTCTGCTGGTTTTAAAGTATTGCCAGTATGTATTCATGGGTTCTCATTAGTCAGAATTCTGTCAGATTCTCTCATGCATTAGATAGAACAGTGCAAATGATGCAGTATCTATCACTTTTAACTCCAGTTATCAACACTTGTTCTTCATAGTTAGCTATTATTCTGGTGAGAATAGAAAAACAGTTTCAAACTCACCTATTAGCACATTTGATCATGAAGTCTGTTTTATACAAGTATTCAAGTACTAATTAACTCAACCAACTGTCAGTCAATTTTGCCAACAGATTCAGCATATATCTAGCTGTACAGCTAGATTATATATTATGATGACAGGAACCTGTAGTGCTTTAAAGTAAGACTTACACTTCAGTATAATTCTTATAAACTTATAATATACTTGGGATTTGAGTTCCTGTAATGCATTCTTTAGTGATGGGAGAAATTCAACAAGCATTGTACCATTCATGTTATAAGACTGTCTTGTCATATTGCTTAAATTTCCAATTAAGAGATATACAGGCCATGAGTTCAAGTCTTCATGTTAATTGGTAAGCTGTATTTTGTCTGTTGCAATCAATACTAGTACTATAGTTGTATTATCAGAAAAGTTCTTCTGTATATTTCACCATCAATTTCCAGTATGCATTTCTGTATACACTTGATCATTGCTCTGATTAAAGTGCTGTACTAATTCATATACCAGATGTTTCTGGAATGGTTTATGGTCAAGAAGATGTTAAATAATATATTCAACTTTCTGATACTGAAGCTTGTGTGTCTTAAAGTGCAAATCTGATTCTGGCAAGAGAACTGTTATATTCATCTGAACCTAATTTCTTGCAGTATGGCCATATAAGATCTTGGCAACTTTTAAGAAGAGCTTGTCTGCATTATGAAAACTTAGTTGTGTAGTGATGCTGTATAGAGAAAAGCTCTTCAAGAAGTTATTAATATTTCTCTTGCTGAGTTTTGCTCTGAAAAAGAAACTTGCTATTTCATAATCAATCTTACTACAAAATGAATAAAATGGATTGTGTTCTTCTGAATATTTAGAATCAGGTTCAATTTAGACATCAACAGGTATACCTGCTCTTTGATCTGTTGTCTTGTATATGATGGTGTGGATTGTAGATGTGATAGAAAGCTTGACTGGTGAAACCAGAATGTAGAAGTTTAAGCTTCTTTTAATAGTAGATTCTGTACATTCTCTCTTATTACCAGTGTTAACATCACTTGTAACCAAATCTTCTTGTGGTGAAAGATTGCTAGCTGTAGTGCTTTCAAGTAATAAGATTTCTGGCTTATTCATCTTAATGTTCTCTTTCCCCATGTTGGCCAACCAGTTACTATAGTTGTCATGGACAAAATTCCATTCACTAGTAGAGATTCCAGTAGTGTTGAGGTTGTCAGTATGTTCTTGAATCTCTGAGTTTGTTGAGGTGGCTGATTCAGTCTGGAAAAACTGGAATTCTTGAAGATGGTCAAGTAACACTTGACATTTTATGTGATGCCTCTCTAATTTACTTAATGTGGAGATTTGCTTGCTACAAGCAGCATAATGGTGATAGAAAAACATCATTCAAAAATTTGATTGCTAGTAAATTGTTGCATAATAATAAAGACTTTACTTTACACTTGCTCTGGCTTCACTTTGTGCTTACTTTGATCTCACTTACAGAGCAGTGTATTTTTATTATAATATTACAATAATATTTACAAGCTAGTTTATTTTAGACTTAGCTTGGCAGCATCATGCAAGATATAAATACCTCTTTTCTTCTGTCTTTCACAACTCTCAACATTACATCTAGCTGTACTGCTGCTGCAGTCATAATCTGTAGCTGTGGCTGCTGCTTCTGCTGCAGAAAAGAGAGCATTGCTAGCTTGATTAGACTGGTATTTAGAACCAGGATAGAATTTTATTTCCTATTAAAGCTTGTCCTGGTCCTGAATTTAGAAACAGCTGGGATTCCAAATATGAAATGTCAGTTCCATGTTTTATCCCACTCAAGAGCTTGAGATTCTGTTACCATCCCTATTCCATAAATTATTTCCCAGTCTCATTCTTAAATAGAAAATTATGTCTCATGTTCTATTCCAGCAGAGAAGGTAGGCTCTCATTTCCCATTCCAGCTAGATCTATAGTGAGACTGGAATGGGACTGGATTTTCCAGCCTCATTGTGTCAAGAGTCAAACTGGTCAAATTTTGTGTAGAACTGTTACCAAATTTTGTTACTTTTTTGATGAAGGCAGAACTTTTAGAAAAATCAATTTGATTGTAAAAGAAAAAAACAAAGTATTAAAACTAAGTAATGACTGAAGCCAGCAAACAACTAGAAACTGTCTAAATGGCAAGTTTATCATCATCATTATTGTTATTGTTCTTGTCATTATCATTATTCTTGTCATTATTATAATTCTCTTTCTCTTTCTTCTTCTCTCTCTTCTTCTTCTTCTCTGTTTTCTTTCTCTTCTTCTTCTTCTTCTTTTTCTTCTCCTCCTTCTCCTCCTCCTGCTCCTCCAGAACCAGCTTTGTGAACCAGACAGAAGCTCTAATATCTGCCATTTGACAGGTGGAGACCCTGTTGGCACTAGGGAGAGGCACAGAGGCAGTGGTGGGTGGTGGCAGTAGTGATGGAGCAGTAGCAGTAGTTGGTGGGGCAGAGACAGAATGCAGGTAGTGGATGATGGTAGGAGGGGCAGGGGCAGCAGGAATGAGGTGATCAGGCATATTAATCAGGCTGAAATAGTTTGACCTGATCATGATACTGATGCCAAGAATAAGCTTCATGTTATCAGTATTAACTGTAACACACTTACAGTATGCTATTGTCATAACAGAGTCTATATTACTCAGTATAATTGTTGGTGTCATTGTCAATAATGACTTACACTCAAATAGAGTGCATAAGATTGCTTCAGCAGTCTTCTAAAATAACTTAATAGCGGAATGTTACCAGTAATATTCATGTTCTTGATGACAGGACAAAGTAATTTTCTGAATCAATTGCTGGAATAGGGCCACCAGGAGAATTAGCTCTGTAGAGCTCTGGAAGTGGTAGATCTTCTTGATGGTACCTATTTCATCAATTAGTATCAAGACTGTTACCAAAAATTGTTACTTTTTGACATACAAGTGCTGGACTTTCAATTATAAACAGAGCAGCAGGAACAGAGATTCTTCTGGTTAAAGTTAACCAGATTAATATCTTTATTAACTTTATATTAATTGCTCTTCTTCAGAATCTATTCTTTCAATGCAGCTTTGTACTGCTTCTCTCCAGCTGTACAAAATAAATGTGCATAGAGAAAACTAACATCTTGTCAGTAAATAATGTGCACCAGAGCAGTATTCTGCAAGCACTTACCTCTTAACACAACTCATTTTGTTACAGCACAGGTTCTTGTACAGAGGGTTTGCAGAACAGTAAATAATCAGAAGAGAGGAAAGAATTATCAACAGTAGTTCTGAAGAAAAAGAAGAAGAAGAGAAAGAGAAAGAGAAGAGAAGAGAGACTGATCTTATATTATTATTCTGCAGCCAGCATAGCAATAATGCATTGAGCTTGCCTATAGCAACATGCCTGTAAAATGTAAATAATGTGTATAGTAATCATTCTACACAAGTACTAGATCAATACACTTCATATTCTCATTATTCTATAGCCAGCATAGCAACAACACATGAAGCTTGCCTATAGCAATATGCCTGTAGAATGTAAACAATGTATATAGTAACTATTCTATACAAGTAGTTGGTCAATACACTCTATAATTCCATCATGCACTGCCTTCAATTCAACTCATCACATACAATTGTGAAGATGGGGCCAAAACAATATTCAATAAGAGAGAAGACTCATGTGGTACAGGAGCACTACCAGGCCTTGAAAGACCATTAAAAAGATATATTCAAGGTAGGAGAGACAGATCACAAGATATGCCATAATATGCTGAAGAGGATTTAAGTCAAATATAAGTGATATGCACTTTCAGTGGTTTGCATTGAATCATATTGATATCTATGGCAGACAGAATAGCAGTGAGGAGAATCACAAGGTAATTAAGAATAAAGCCATTGAATAGTTGATGGTCAAGTGATTTGCCAAGAGCAAGTCAAAGAAGTACCATGAGCACCAGCTCATGGTATCTCAGAAAAAAAAGAGGGAACAGGAGCAGAAGTGTTGCTGAGAAGAGGTTATAGAAGTCAAGAATGAAGCTTGACAGAACAAGAAGATAGAATTTAAAAATAATAAAATTTGGTAACAGTCCTGACATATTTAGACTAAAACAAGCCAGCTGCAGCATTCTATTGCTGCATGTAAGCAGGCCTGGTTCTAACAAATAATAGCAAAGCTTGAGATCAAGATTATAGATCATGGTTATAATTATCTTGCTGCAGTTGATGTATCAAGAGAGAGAGTTGAGAAGGAGATGAGAGGATTCCTGAGCCAATTACAGAATCTGATTGAAGATAATAACAGCTTGTCAGCTACAGAGAAGATGAAGAAAGATGATTTTGAGATTGTGATGTTCTCTGATGAGAACAATAAGAAGAATGATGAGAAGAATGATGATTGAATTGTTGATATCTAGAAGAGAAAGTTAGATTTTTAGTTCTTTTTTTATATTAATTTGAGAATGGGGTGCCATTAAATTGGCAAAATATTTTATTTTTCTGAAGAAGAATGTTCTATTTTGTAAATAATGATAATTTTGTAGTTGGTTACTGTACAGAGTAGAATGATTCTAACTAGCTGGAGATTGTCAAATTTTACTTGAACTGTTACCAAATTTTGTTACTTTTTTAACTAAGACAGAACTCAGAGAAAAATCAATTTAATTGTGAAAAAAAAAAACCTAATTAAATAGCTGAAGCCAGCAAACAAGCAAAATCTACAGAGATGTCTTCAGAATTAATTATAGTTCAATATGAAAAAAAACAATTTGTGTTGTGGAAGAAGCAGCATTATAAGTTGTTTGTTACTTGGTGGTTAACTACTGAAGCTGCTCAGTTGATTAAGAATAAGAACTGTAGTGACCTTAACTGAAAGGCAAAGCAACACCATTTTGATTTTTGGCCAAAATTTGATCAGGTGGCAGAGCATTCTAAGAGCACTTCAGAGATGATTTACAAGTATTGCTAAATCTTTCTTAGTCATTCAAGCTTTTCTTGAAATGATACAAGTGGTCTGAAGAAGCATTTAACCAGTAAAGATTGTACAAAAACTGATAATGGACAGAATAACACTCTGGTTAACATGATAGTAGATTATAGATTCTAATTTCCCAAATGTAATGAATTTTAGTAACAGTTCTGGTGTTTTAGCAACAGTTTTCAAAGCATTCTCAAACAGATTCAGATCTGCCTGTTCCTGAATACAATTGAGATAATTTTCTCTGGCAGCTTGTGTGAACATTAATATTCTTGAATCTCTTATTTTGTGCTATTGAGAATCCAGCATTCCACACATTAATAACCATGCTCAACCCTGTGATGGCATTACAGATACCCACATAAGGAACATTATATCAGGTCATGAATAATATGTACAATCAGCTATTTCAAAATCTTCTCTTTAATCATGACCCAACAACCAAGATATCTCTAGCAGTAGATAATTAGACAAGTCCCAATAACCTTATCTTTATGACAATTAATGATTATTATATTACAAAGAATTGGGAGTACTGTAAGCATTTACTGAATTTTGAAAGTTTAGAGAGTGCTTATACTAGCAAGAATATGATAGAGATTCTCCAACAATTATTAGCAGTATGAAGGCTTGAGAGTAATCTTCTTATAATTATAAGTAATAATGCATCAAACAATAATATCATGCAAGCACATCTTACACATCAGTTAAGGTCAGCATTACAGCAGTTGAACAAGACAACTGATTGAGATGCAGACAGTAGAACAATACTCTGTCTTGCTTATATAATTCAACTTGTAGTTTGAGAGCTGGTTTGCAATCTTAAGATTCAGCCAGACAATGATACTCTACTTATTATCTTTAATGAGAGCTCAATTACTGATGATCTAGCATTAACAGACACATTTGCAAATACTCTTAGAAAGATAATGAAATTTGGTAACAGTCTTGATATACTTGAGTTGATTTACTAATCTTTGCTTAATAATAGATTTGTCTTGTTGCCAATGCAACTAATATCTCCCTCTAACTTGCTGCATGTTTTCAAGAATATCAACAAGAGAACCAGTGCAAGATGATTCAAGATGTTCACACAAGATGGAATTCTATCTATAAGATGTGTGTTCATGTCTTGTTGCTTTGACAAGCTGTAAACTTATGAATTCAGAACTCATCACTAAAATATCAAAGACTTCACTTATTGAACCATGACTGGAAGCAGATAGAGTATATAATTAAACTGTTGCAGCCATTCAGTCAATTTACCAAGATACTGTCCAAAACAACAGGCCCAATAATTTATTTAGTATGGGCAATCTATAATCATCTTTTCCAGTATTTAGAAAGAGAGGAGGACAAGACTCAACAGTTGACAACAAGAAAGAACATTGAAGAAGCTATCAAAGCTGCCAGCTTGAAATTTCAGAAATATTATAATGATACTAAGTATCTAAAAAGTGAGCTGCTAGCTGTAGCTGCTGCTCTCTGTTCATCACATCACATAAGAGCATATGATTCAGAGAATTGGACTAGTGATGAGAATGAAACATACTGATAATATATTTTGAGATTTTACAAAAAGCATTATGAGAAATATAAACAGTCAAGAGAAGTAATACTTGATGTGAATGATGTATATTTATTATAAGTATTATTCTGATTTTCTCTCTGCTAACTTCTCTAGAATATTGAGCAAATAATTTTTGAGAGACTCCATTAATGACAAGCAAATTTTCAAAATGAAATGCAGTAATATTTAAATAATAAGAATTTGACATCATCTTGAGCTCCAATTCTGGAACAGTAGAGAATGCTAGAGCCTGATTTTCCAACTGTTGCTTGAATGGCAAGAGACATTCTGGCTATATCTTTAACAGGGGTTGGAATAGAACAGGTTTTCAATGTTGCTCAGGATACATGTTATTATTGATGATCACAGCTTCATGCATCTATAATCAAGAAGATCATGCTACTTAAACATGGAGATAAGATGCATATACTGAATGAAGCACTCATATTGCATAAGAAGTTGGTCAAGAAAGTCATTCAAGATAATCAAGATAATCAAGATACTCCAGAGATTGTACAGAAAGAGATTGCAAGCCTGCTAAATCCACTACTCAATTCAGACAAGAAACAGAAAATGCATTAATGTTATCAATAGATAGACTCAAGTAGCTAAAGCTTAATAGCTTGTAATATAATCCAATTATGCAAAGAGCATTATCAAATTTTATTACTTTTTCAAAGTTGAAAAAATTAATAAAATTATGTTAGAACTGTTACCAAATTTCATTATCTTTTGACAACACAAATAGGACCAGAATTTCCAGTCCCATTCTACACTTTACTGGTCCTGTCCCATATACAATATTGAAATTCCAGTCCTATCTTATTTTGTCATGGCCAGGTCCCAGAACCATTCTATTAGCTAGATTTTGATTCCAGTTCCAATCCTATCTCAATTCTAGCTCCCATGGAACTGTCCCAATATGCTGTTAAATAACCCAGTCCCATTCTGTTAAGCTGAGCTTCAACCCAATCCTGTCCTTGGGACAGGAATTGGGACAGGAATCTGGAACTGGAATGGGAAATCTCGGAACTGGATACCACTCTAAGCTTGATTACTTAACAGCAGCATTTGGTAAGTTCTACCAATGTTATGTCTTTCATGAGAATCTAGCTAATGTTTATGGAGGTTCTGCCATATCAGAGCCATTGCAAATGACTGGGGAAATCATACTACTCTATTATTTGTTGCCTTCACAGACACTGAGTATTTGATTGATGACACTACAAAGAATCAAGTTGCCATGAACTCTGTAAATACAGACTTTGATGTCAAGCATCTCATCAGTCATAAATTCAACAATACTAAGATTCAAGCTGATATGAAACACTTCCCCTTCAAGATCATTGATAAGGACAGCAAGCCCATTATCTTGAATTCAAAGATGAGACCAAATAATTCACACCAGAGAAGATCATCTCTACTATCAACAATGCTGGTGTAATCATGCCAGCCTACTTCAATAACAAAGTAGTTTCCGCTGGAGGAGATCTCCTTCATGTCTTGATCAAGATGGGGAAGATGACTGAATCTCATCTTGATGGCACTATTAATAATGCTGGCATGACTGTGCCAGCCTATTTCAATAATTTCCAGTGTCAAGCTATCAAGAATGCCAGTCTTATTACTGATTTTAATATTTTCTATATTCTGAACAAGCTCAATGTCACTATGATTGTGCATGACTTTGAATTGAAGTTAGTTGCTATAGAGTTTCTTATACTTGCCATTCTGAAATACACATGTAGCATTGAAATGTTGTAATATGATATAAAAATTCTATATTATTTTCTTGTTGCCATGCTTGCCTACTTGATCTACTGAGCTGTTATCTAGCTGTAAGACATAGCATGCATTTTAGAAATGCTGCTGAAGGTTTACAGCTTCTACTCCAAATGTAAGAATATTAGATCTCATGCTACTTTTCTAGCTGTATAGTACAGAGATGTGTTGTTTTGGATTTTCTAATTAGACCAAGGGCCTACACTTTATTTTTATTACTATAATCTTCCTTTCAACTCTCTCTCTAACTACTAATCTACACAGTCTCACCAGCTATACTACAAGCTTGCTGGCTCTCCAAATCAGTAAAGATATGCTCTCTACAGCCATGAATTCCAATCTTAAAAAAGCTTATAAGCTTGCTAACTAGAGATTAGCAATATACAGACTTCTCTATGAGATTCCCTTTGCAAAATAAGCTTTATAAGCACTTTCTTCCTCATGAGCAACAAGCTGATATTGAATTTAAACACTATTTAAAGACTTCTTTTGTGATATTGTGTGTTGTATGTCTAGATATGCAATACATCTTCTGACTTGAAATTCTTGTTATATGGCTAGTATGCCCCAATATCTACTATATTGAGTGACTGGTTATCATTCTAACATAGAGTTTAACCTAGCTTGAGAAATGAATCCTTCAACTTCATTAAAGAAAATAAGCACATCAAAGGTCTGCAAGGCAGTCAAGGCTGAAGATCTTCACTCAAGTACAAGCTTCTAGAATATTTAGGCTTCTCAACAACAGGTGTATTGTGAGAATGGATGTGATCAGGTGAAATTAACTATATTTTGACTATATTCTACAAGAAATACAGTAATTTCTTTGATAGAACTAGCCCTGCATACAGATCTGATATCTCAATTTGTATTGATGCAATGAAGAAAATAAAGCTTTCAACAATACAGGCAGAAATTTCTTTACTTGACCATGATCTTGAGAATCTTGAGCCTACTGATAATGTTTCTACTGTAATGTTGTTATAGGCTGTTCAGCAATTAATTGCAAAATCTGAGAGGAGATTCAAAGATGATAATCCTGAGAACATACATAGACTTCTTCTTCTATTAAAATATGTGGTATGGATGAGATCTGCCAGTTAGCAGCTTAAACAAGAAAAAGACTGTAAGTGAGATAATGAAGTGATTATCCTAAAGTATGCAGACCTGAATGCACAAGATGGTTCTGCTGTAAAGGCAGGAGCTGAGACTGCTATTACTGCAGCTATTGGCAAAGAGTTTCAAGATGATATTGAAATTGGTCCTACTGATGAAGATGTTGACACCAATTTTGAGGAGAACACCAATGATGCTGTTAAAACTGTGAACAAGATTATTCATGGAATTAGCTTCAATATTCCTTTGCCTTCTATGGATAAAGACACAAGAAAAGTCTTAATTGAAGAGTTTACCAAAAATGCTGTTGATATTGAAATGCTATTTGTGGGAAAGTGTGGATCTGACAATAGACTAATGACTGACACCAAACATCTGGAACACCTTGAAATGAGTGATGATGATGATGATAATAAAGATTCTATTGAGAATACTGGTGAGGCTCTCTTTGAGCTGAATTGCATGCTCAATATAACTGGAGCAGAAGCTTCAGATTATCTTACTGCTTGTTCTGACTTGAATATGAACTCTGACAACCTGATAGTTGCAAATCTTACACTGAAACCTTGGCAAGTTACTGAGGTTGCTTGAAAATTGATATAAGAGCTGTCACCAGTGAGAGATGGGATTCTTGCTGATAAAGTGGAACTGGAAAAGACTGCATAATGCTGCACTTTAATTCTTAAAGTAAAAGAACAAAAGTTGACTAAATCATATTATCCAACTCTGATTATCTGTCTAAATGAAGTGGTCATCAATTGAGTTGATCAGATTGTTTGATTCTTTTCTGATAGCATTTGACTGATTCTTTTTTATAGTATTCTTGGCAGTAGAGAGATCACTGATGACACCCTTAAGAAGTTTATTGTTGACAAAACCACATTAAAATTCAAATTCAAAGAGCTTGACAAAAATGACCTAAAGACTGTGACAACAGTTATCATCATGTCATATTTGACATGGTGATGGCACATGTATTTGAGCTCTGATAATCTAGCTGTATGACACAAGACTTCAGATGCTGCTGTATAGCTAGATGAACTTCCTGATGTATTCAGAAACATGCTTCAGCAGCTTCATGGGAAACTTGATTGGCCAACCAAAAACTTCTTTGAATATGTGATACTTGATGAAAAACATAAAGTTAAGAATTCAAGAACCTCTGTTCACAAGACTGTTGCCTTGATTTCAAGAGACCATATCTAGATTGTGTCAGTAACCTCTATAATGAACAGAGCCTCTGATTTGTCTGGTTTTATGCAGCTTATCAATAAGAAATCTTTACATATGGATTTTGATTTTCAAGCAATTGATGACTCACTCAAAGTTTACAAGAAAGTACTCATGTCTGGTATGAATTACTTGCATATTCTGCACCCATTACTCTACAATCAGCTTTTTTAATGTGATTCAATGTTGTCATACTCTGCAATGATTGCTTTGTCTTGAATTCTCAACTACATCCAGCTTTATTGGACATATGATCACCAAATAAACCTTGATGGTATGTGTGAAGTCATCACCATTAGTGAGAACATTTCAAGCTATAGTGTATAGATAACTGAGTGTAAAATAATGCAGATAAAACAGCTGGCACAGTATTACAGTGTTCACTCATATCTTGTTTTAATGCTGAAGAAAGAGACTGTTGGTGATACTCAAGAATCTTCTGAGAACAGAAATAATATTGATGGTGGTTTTGACATGATTATATATTGCTGGCTCAGGCATGCATTGTTTTCATTTGATTTGGAAAACCTTTTTACTTCAACTATTGTGAAGTGTGAGGGTAACCTTTCTCAAGACATTAACTAAAAGTGCCACTCATTTCAGAGAATTGTATGATGAATGATTACTGATATCAACATTTTCTGTATTCTGGCTGACTGTATATAGATTGTGGAATTCTTATGCTTAACAATACTGAAATACCTGATGTTTCTCAAGATTCTTTAAAAAGTTATGAATATCAAGAGACATTGTCTTTTAGTCTTTATTACTTATCTGACTGTTGAGTTTTATATTAAAATCTTCTTGAAACTTCTTGAGTATAATATTCTTTTACTGTAAGCAGGCCAGTTGTTTCAGAAATGGCAAAAAATATAAGATGTCTTTAATAATTCTGACAGCAATGTTGAAGTTTTAGTTATCACTTACAGTACTTGCTTTCTTAATGTCAATATTCATCACTACTGCTCAGGTATTACTATGCTTGAACCAGTAATTAACACAAACATTATCTTACAGACAATGGGAAGAGTTCACTGTTTTGATCAAACAGAAAAGCAATGGATCTGGATTCTTCATGATGTAAATATGTTTGATTATTTTGTCAAATTTAATCAAGTAAACAAGATAATTCTCAAATCATTGGCATGGTACAGAACATGTTTGGTGATCTTGAAGACAAACTAGCTGTACAGCTAGATGAACCCCCAGAAGATGTTGAGACTCAGAAAGATAACAAGAAATAAAATGATACTATGATAAATTCACTGAATGAGGCTGAGAATATTGTACATAAACAAGCAGATATCTTCTACTGTAAAATATTTAAACAGACTTGTTTGCATTTAAAATATGAAGACATGACAGACTTAGAATTAGATGATGACATTATGAAAAAGGTTTGGTAAATACTTGAGTTAGTTTCATTAAAAAAGCTGGTCATAATCAGCAAGACTCTTCTTGTGATGCAATCACTAGTGAAATCTAGTAATGAGATGTCTGTCAAGCCAGATCCAGAGCAGTCTTTATAACATGCAGATCCACCAGAAAATAAGACTCTTACAGAAATTACAGAAGATGATTCAAAGATATCAGACAGTTCACATAAATCTTTACAAGACTCTACCTCTTCTGTCAGAGTTCTAATGCCTGATACATCACCTGCTGTTAAGCTTGAACATATAAATCTTGATGATTTACCCTTGACAGATCTTGGCAGCTTGCCATCTTCAGATAAAACAAATGATAATAACAAGAAAAATGAGATACCAGAAGATGAAACAGAAAATAGTGACAAGAAAATTGAGAAATCAGATACTAATAGTCAGAAGTGTAAAACTTCACTTTACATACAGCCTCTGTGTAGCACCAAGAGATTGAGAATTTCTGAGAATTCATGAGGTACTTTAGTTTTTTACTCACATCTAAATATAGCTTTATGAGTTTTTACAAAAAATGAAAATGCTACTAGCCTTGAAATTATTTATTTTAATGTGTAGAGTTAGAACTTCCAGGTAGCTAAGAGTACAAAGTACTGGTGAAAGTGGCACCTTGGCTTGATGAGTAAAAGAAGCAACTAAAGAATGATTTGGTGAAGCCTGACAGGCTCAGAGCCATCACTGGTGAAAGAACTCAACCAGAGCTAATCTGGAGCAACAAGAAAATCAAAAATATGGCCTGGAGTAAAACCAGAGCAATTATGTGGTCCCAAGGGCACTAAGACTGTCTACAGTGCGAAAAATTATACTAAAATTTGTGGGGCGTGGCGGGCCTGATGGGGATTTGCTGATGCAGAGATCAATAAAGAACAGGAATACAAAGTCAAACAAATACTGAATCATTAGAAGATCAGCAGAAAACTTCACTATCTAGTGAAATAGACAGAGTACAATACCTTAGAAAACATCTGAAAATCAACACAAAACCTCAGAAATGCTCAGATGATTGTTGTGACATATTATCAATAACACTTTCATCCAGCAAAGTATTAACAAACAAATTGAAGATAATCAGAAGAGAATTCAAGAAAGAAAGATTACTTAAAGAAGCAAGCAGGCTCTGAATCTCTGTCTGCTCAGCCACTCTTTTCTACTTCTTCTTCTCAAGATGTTTCAATTCCTCTACAGACTTTGACTTGGATTCAAGAAATTTATCAGCCTGGTCATAAAGCAGCTTTTTCTGTTTTTAAAGATAAAGAAGACAAGAGAGAGTTTCTTGCTCAGCATATTCAAGCTTGTTCTGAGTCTCAAACAATTTCTGTCAATCAGCAGCAGAAGAATCATCATCATAAATATAACAGCAACTAGCATGAATACACTTACTACATCAAGAAGAATGACTTAATTTTAGACAAGTCTTACTTAATAAAGAACATCAAGAGCAAGAAGAAAGCATCATGAATCCAGATTACTTAATGATAGAAAGAAGATTATTCTTGCAAGTATTAGAAGCAGACAACATGATGAAAGAAAACCATGAGAACACTCGCTAAGAAGAAAGACAAGAGAAAACCAGAAACTTAAGAAAGAGAGAACACTCTTTTATACTCTGAAAAGTAACAGACAGAGCAGTTGAGAACAATATACTATAAAAGAAGACAATAATATTATGAATCCTGCAGCACAACAACAGAATACACAGAATGATTAAATGATATCTGACAGAACAGAATTACAGACTGTTATAGAAGAATCTTAAGACAAGAATCACATAACCAGCAATAGAACTGATAAGCTGACTGATTACACCAAGCACAATAGAATTAACCAGAGAACATAGCAAATATATTGTGGTAGAACAGATAGAACAGCTTAGCAGGACTATCATCAGAAAAGCATCATGTATATAAGAACACTTATTACCAGAAATTCAATGAACTTGTTTATCATGATCAATCTTCTTACTTATCTACTAGATATCTTTAAATCAGATACTTTTATATCTTGGTTACTTTCTATACTACTGAAGTCCTGTAATACTGAACAATTGTATCTGATTCTGCTACTCTTGAGAAGGGCTTATAGTCTTGCTCTGACTCTGTTACATCTGCATGGAAACTCTTTGTCATTAGAGCAAGACTGCCAGCTCAACCAGAGCATTATTGAACTATTGATCACTACTTCAATCTGTTATTACTCACTGTGATACTCTTTGACCTCTAAAGATTCAAGAGTGTCACACAAATACATAATACTATGCTGGCTACAGAATAATGGAAATATGGAGTGTATTGATCAAGTACTTGTGTAGGATAGTTACTATACACATTATTTACATTCTATGGGCATGTTGCTATAGACAAGCTTAATGTGTTGTTGCTATGCTGCTGCAGAATAATAATATAAGGTCAGTCTCTCTTCTCTTCTCTTTCTTTTTCTCTTCTTCTTCTTTCTCTTCAGAGCTAATATTGATGATTTTCTTCCCCCTCTCTGACTTTTCTTTTTATTTACTCTTCTTTAATGTCCCTCTGTACAACAAACCTTGCTGTGATAATGGGCTGCATTAAGAGGTGAGTGCTTGCAGAATTCTGCTCTGGTGCACATTATTTACTGACAAGATATTAGTTTTCTCTGTGTGCATCTGTTTTGCACAGCTGGAGAGGAGTGGCACAAGACTGCATTGAAAGAATGGGCTCTGAAGAAGAGTAATTGGTGTAAAGTCAATAAAGATGTTGATCTGGCTAACTTTGATCAGAAAAATCTCTGCTCCTGCATCCTGATTCATAATTGAAAGTCCAGCACTCATATATTAAAAAGTAATGATTTTTGGTAACAGTCTTGATGCTAATTGGTGAAATAGATATCATTAAAGAAATCTGCTACTTTCAGAGCTTTACAGAGCTAATTCTTCCAGTGATCCTGTTTCAGTAATTGGTTTGGGAAATTACTTTATCCTGTCACCAAGAACATGAATATTGCTGGCAACATACTGTTATTGAGTCACTTCAGAAGACTACTGAAGTGATCTTGTGTACTCTGTTTGAGTGTACGTTACTATTGGCAATAGCACCAACAATTATACTGAGTAATATAGACTTTTTTATGGCAATAGTGCACTGTAAGTGTGTTACAGTTAACACTAATGACATGAAGCTTGTTCTTGGCATCAGTGTCATGACCAGATTAAACTATTTTGGCCCAATTAATGTATCTGATCATCCTGCCCCTGCTGCTCCTGCTTCTGCTGTTATTATTCATCATCTGTATTCTGCCCCTGTTCTGCCAACTACTTCTGTTACTGCTCCATCACCACCACCATCACCCACCACCACCTCTCTGCCTCCCCCTGGTGCTGACAGGATCTCCACTTATCAAATGGCAGGTATTAGAGCCCTTGTCTGGTTCACAAAGCTGATTCTGGAGAAGCAGAAGAAGAAGGAGGAGAAGAAGAAGAAGAAAAAAAAGAAGAGAAGAAAGAAGAAGAAGAAAAGAGAGAAGAAGGAAGAGAAAGAGAATAATAATAATGAGAATAATGATGATAATGAGAATGATAATAATAATAACAATAATGAACTTGTCATTTAGACAGTTTCTGATTATTTGCTAGCTTTAACCATTACTTAGTTTTAATACTTTGTTTTTTTCTTTAATAATGAAATTGATTTTTCTAAGAGTTCTGCCTCCATCAAAAAAGTAACAAAATTTGGTAATGGTCCACACAAAATTTGACCAGTTTGACTCTTGACACAATGAGACTGGGAAACCTGGTCCCATTCTGGTCCCACTATAGATCCAGTCAGAATGGGAAATGGGAGCCTACCTTCTCTGCTGGAATAGAACATGGGATATAATTTTCTATTTGAGGACAGGACTGGAAAATAATTTGTAGGATAGTAATGAGAACAGGACCTCAAGCTCTTGAGTAGAATGAAACATGGGACTGAGATTTCATATTTGGAATCCTGGCTGTTTCTAAATTTGGGACCAGTACCAGCTTCAATGGAAAATGGAATCTTATTCTGGTTCTGAATACCAGCCTAGTAGATCTGCATGTTGTAGAGGCTGCTCTGAATCTGGCTTGATGAATGTCTCATCACTAGATTTTACTGGTAATTATATCATAAGAAGAGTCTTGCTAGTTATGACTAGCTTCTTTAATGAAACTAACTTGAGCATTTGCTGAATCTTTTTCATAATATTATTATCTAATTCTAAGTCTGTCATGTTTTTGTATTTTAAATGCAAACAAGTCTGTTCAAATATTTTCTAATAGAAGGTATCTGTATGACTGGATGATGTGGTTGCCAATGGCAGAGTTCACATATAATAACTTATAGCAGGCCTCCACACAGAAATCATCTTTTCAGCTAATATATGAGTTAAATCTGTGAATAGATCTATTAGACTCTAATAAGTATGGCTATATGTACAAGAATTTAAAGAATCAGGTGGAGGCAATGAGATTACTCTGTAAGAAGATCAAGAAATCACTTGTGAAGGCACAAGTCTACCAGAAGAAGTACTATAATCAGAAGCATACTGCAAAGACTTTCCAGATGAAAGACAAGATGTGGCTTGATCTTTGTAATATCAAGATCATACAATCTAACAAAAAATTGAATTTGTTGAGACATGGGTCTTGTAGAATTATGAAGAAGATAGACTTGCAAGCCTATAGACTGGAGCTGTCTCCAGATCTGCAAACTTATAATAGTTTTTATGTATCTCTGCTCTGCAAGCACAAGACCCATAAAGGAATTGATAGCTCATCTTATTATGAAGTTTGTGAGATAGACAAGAATGAAAAGAAGTATCAGGTCTGTAAGATAATTAACTTAAAGAGAGAGAGTTGCAAGCTGTAGTACAGAGTATATTAGAAAGATTATAATAATAAGAAGAATAAGACATGGGTTTCTGTAACTAATGTCTGTCTACTGAGAAAGCTACTCCAATAATTCTATAGTAGAAACCCAGACAAGCCTGGTTCATGAAAGAGATGAATGGAGGTAGTGGAACTAGAAAATGAATTAGAGAGAGAAAAGATATAGTCAAATCAAATTAAATTTGTTTCAAAAGAAGAACTATCTAAAGACTATATAAGAGTGTCTGGCTTTCTTCTGTAAAGATCTGTAACAACTATCTATAATCTCACTGCTGGAAAGAGCAAGCAAGATACTCATAATACAGGCAGTTATTACATTTTTGACTCAAGCCCACAGAGATGCACTTTGTGAAGACTATATTACTATAGTCTTGCTGAGCTCTCTTGCAGACAGAGTACTTCTGTTCTGGTGACAGCTGGACCTCAGCTCAAGTTATAAGAATACTCTTACAGAGCTGGACACAGATAGTTAACTGATTTGAATTATCTAAACCAGCAATAAGCATGAGTCTTTAAATAGGCTTGCAATATCATGCTCTTTTGTAAGCAGACAAAGCTTGTGCCCCAGTATAAAGTAGAAGATCTGGAAAAATCACCAGATTGATTTGTAAAGCACTAGTAAAAGTAGTGACTGGCAGCATTTAAGTAAAGATGATCTGAAATCACTATTGTTAATCTTACAGAGAGAGTGCTGGACAATTTCAGGCACTCTGTAAGACTACAGCACCCATGAATCCTGCTGGAGCAGAAAGAACAGTAACAACAATCTAGAGAAGATTAGCTGTAAACTGAAATATGATAGAGAATACTTATATTTCTGGCTGGGGCTGGAGCAGCAAGAACTGCAGGAGAGAAAGATAAAGCAGAACTCTAACTTCATCAGCATGTAAATTAATACCAGCTTGTGAGAAGCACTTACAGCTTGAGCTGGTGAAAGAAGAGTAGTGATAACTAGTAAAGAAGAAGAAGAAAGAGAAGCAATAATGCTCTAGAACTATCAGTTATGAATACTTTTCAATTTCTCAAGACTACTTACTGAAGACCCAACTTCTTCTGTAAAGAAGAGGGTGGAAATTCTTCTGAGAAAGAAGAGCAGTAATGACTTGTAAGAGAGAGAGAGAGAAAACTACAAACCTGCAGAAACTTCTAGCAAGCATCAGTTTTTTTGTAAATTAAATCTTATGTAAAGGCAAAACTTCATGATCACATGAAGTAAAGATACAATCAGAAATAAACTCACTAACTTGTAACTGCAAGATCAAGTATGCAGAATGTCTGAATAAAGTTATTTTTAATTCTTTTAATTATTAGAGATCTTCTGCAAGCCTGTCTTCTATGTGAAGCAGTGCTTGAAGGGTTCACTTACCTGAATAATAATAATATAGACTAGAGAAGAAAGAAAAGAAAAGAAGAGAAAGAGAAAGCAAGAGAAAGCTCTCTCTTAAGCTAGTACTCATTATCTAATAGTGATACAGAGCTAGTGAGAACAATAGAAACTCTTTACATATTGTTATGTTATTGAGCTCTGTTGTGTTATTATGTTGTGTTGTATTATTAGAGTTGTGTTAATATTACATCTCTAGTGAGGCTGTACTCTTTTTCTTATAAGGAAATTTTTATTTTTCTCAAGAGATTTTGTTTTTCTACTCATGAAGATTTTTAATAAGACAGCTGTCTTGAGAGATTAAGACTTACAAGAGGGGAAAATTTGTAAGAATTTGCTTACAAATCTCTTATACAGACAAACAATACTCACAAGAACTCAGAATCTTGGCTTGCAAGCTGTTAAGAGTACATGTATTCTCACAAGACACTAAGTCATGTGCTTACAAGCACATATAAAAGACTGCCACTGTATGAATCTCTTGTTGAAAGTTAGTGGCAATCTTGTTTACAAGTTGTATATAGCTGCCAATATCAGATCTTTTATCTTATGTACTCTTTTCTATATACAATTTCTTCTATAGATTTATTGTCACACCAATCTACACATACAATTCTTACAGATATAAAGACTGATAACTCAAGACTGTAAATAAATAAGAGAAGTCAATCTCAGAGATCTGCTCAGAAAATAGAAAAAGATCTTATCAAGAATTATAAAGCTTTAAGAAAAGAAGAAAAGTACTTTAAGTGTAATCAAAAAAGACATTTTATGAAAGATTATTTCAAGAAGAAGAGTAGCAAATAGAAAATTGGAGAGCTATAAGTAGATAGAATTAATATAAGAAAGTTGTCTAAGAAAAGTCCTCTTGCTCTTCCCTTCATTATTCTAGACATGTGAAGTCTAACTAACAAGAGTATTACCTGGTCAGCACTAATAGACTCTGGTTGTCAATCTCTAGTGATTAGTTTATGATTGGCTGCAAAGCTAGTGCTAGAGATGCACAGGATGTCTATAGAGATTGAAACTGCTATAAATCATAAGAATATCACTCTTGTGAAAGAGATTGCAAATATATTCTTTAAAGTCTATAACTCTCAGAGAAACTAGCAGTTGTTTCATGAACAAGTAATGGTCACAAATATAAAAGATGAGATGCTAGTGGGTTTGAGCTGGCTGCAGTAACATAATATTAAGATGTGTTTCAGAAAACTAAGACTAGAGTTCCAAACTGTATATTACAACCTGCTTGCAAAGATTAAACTAGTTAATCTCTTGTTGAAGCTAGTAAAGAAAGAGAAGCCCATCTATATAATAATTCTTTATGAATCAGAACAGATGATGACAGTGAATCTAGATCTCCAGATACTGAAAGTCTACTATAAACTCACAGAAGTATTTAGTAACAAGAGAACTTGAGAGCTGCCATTACACTGTAAAGATGATTTGGCTATAGATATTGAGCTGGAGAAGCAGCCAGAATTTGAAAAAATGTACAGACTTTTGCAAGCTGAATAAGAGATTCTTTGTAAATATCTGAGCAGTACTTTAATTCATGAGTTTATCTGCTCTTTCAAGTTATCCATAAGAGCACTCATTCTGTTTATATTCAAGAAGAATGATGGACTAAGAATGTGTGTGAACTATTATAATCTGAATTCAAAAATGATCAAGAATAGATATTCTCTACTACTGATTGAAGATGTGTTGTATAAGCTTATGAAAGCTGTAATATTTACTCAGTTGAATATCAAGAATGTCTATTATAGATTGAGAATTTGTAAAGAAGATGAGTAGAAGACTGTATTTTAAACTTTACAGAAGCTATTTGAGTACTTGATAGTGCTCTTTAAACTTGTGAATGCACTGGCAGTCTTCCAATCATACATTATGAAGACACTTAGTGAATATCTGAATGTCTTTGTGATGATCTATCTTGATAATGTGGTTGTGTACTTGGCTTGTGAGAAAGATCATAACTTCATAAGAAGCATGTGAAATTAGTACTTAAGACACTTAAGAATGCAGGTCTTTATTGCAAGCTGGCAAAGTGCAAGTTTAATGCTTATGAGATTAACTATCTTGGGTATGTTATAACACCAGAAAGTGTTCTTATGAAGAAGAGCTGTATAAACACTATTCTTGACTAATCAGAGCTAATCAGTAAGAAAGACATTCAGATCTTTTTAGAATTTGTGAACTTTTACAGATACTTCATTTCAAGATTCTCTAAGATAGTCTGCAGCCTGACTGCTCCTCTAAAGAAAGAAGAAGCAAAGCTAAGCAGGCATATATGAAGAGAGATAAGAAGAGAGATCA